ATTGTTCGGCGGCTGCATATTGGATCTTGGTATTTAAATGTAGAGCCCAAAGCTCCCGTCACGGGCCCTTCTAATAACTTCATCGGGTACCCTTGGCCTTTGGGGGCATTCAACACCGGGTCTTGGGTAATTCTTATTTGAATGAAGGCCCTGCGCTCTTGATGGGGTCCCATCTGTTAACCTGCTCGGGCAGACTCGATCGTTCGGGGTTCTCCACGTTGTGTCTCGGGTACTTCTAATTTCACTGGATTTCTATTCACAATTTCACTGGATTCACTCCAATTTCTAATTTTCTAGGCCCTACGCTCTTGTCAGGGTTCATCTTTTAAGCTGTTAGGGCCAGTGGCGGATCCGGGGAGAGGGGCACTGGGCCGTGCCCCCTTGTACCCCTCTGGGCCATAGACCCCGAGGAGCCCATACCCGGCTTGTACCCCTCTGGGCCATACACCCCGAGGAGCCCATACCCGGCTTGTACCCCTCTGGGCCATACACCCCGAGGAGCCCATACCCGGCTTGTGCCCCTCTGGGCCATACACCCCGAGGAGCCCATACCCGGCTTGTACCCCTCTGGGCCATACACCCCGAGGAGCCCATACCGGGCCGAACTGACGTCGCAAGTGAGATAGTGAGATAGTGCATGAGGTTGGTTAGTGTCATGTATGGTTGTGATACGGCCACTGATCAAACGTGTTCCCTTTCTCTTTCTCCATGCATGCGACGTCTTAGTTTTGAGCCGGATCGATGCGCTCACCAGCCTTAAGCCCAGTGCGCCGGCCGCTCATGTACTTAAACCTACGCTCTAACCAAGGGTTTTTTTTTGGCGTGGCCAGCAAATGATAATGAAGTGCAAATGAACCCTTCGAAACGGAAGAGTGATGATGTTTATTCTTATTCCGCGATTTATCTTTTTATGTGGTTTATCGCAATTACAGCTCTACTGCAAAAGGCTTGTGATGTTTGGCTCCAGGTGACAATTTAGGCTCTTACAAACGTTGTCTGTGTCGGAAAAGACACTTCCCTGTGCGCGCTATGCACCTTTCGCATATTGCTATGCATATTTTACATCTGGCTGCATAGTCTACACCAGCACAGGCCTAAGTTTTGGAAGGTAGACGTCTCTCTCAAATAATCTCTTTGGTTAACAATTCCAAGATTTCCATCCGAAGTTTCCTTAATTTATTCGTGGAATGACTGTCGAAACACAATCTGACTTTTGTCTTTTTGTACCACCATGCGCCGCAGGCCTAAGCGAGCTTTCTGATGCCGCTTTCTGCTTGGTTCTAATGTTAACAGTTTTAAGGTTAAAAGGGGGGGGGCTCCTCCTCTGGTAAACGGGGATGGGGTACTCTCGTGCAACCGAACCAAAATCATAATGATCCTCATGTGACACATTTTAAGCCCTGAAATCACCAAAAACAAAATCATGCGACCAATGGCAGCACATTTTACATCAATATCAAAGGATTAAACAATGGATTTTGTTTGCTGCTCCCCAATGTGCAAAACAGATCCCTCCCCGATAACACAAAGCTATTTAGATTCCCTCCGCCATTTTCAGGGGCCTTAAGTTACACTGAATTTCAATTTTCTGTCTCTACAAAAACCTGGACATCCATCCTGTCTCTACAAAACCTGGACAAAAACCTAGCCTGGACATCATGTCATTGTGCTAACTGTCCGGGTGATAAACTTTGGTGAGCTGGACTGCTCGTGTGTTGAAGTCACCCAATTACGTAACATGGCATACTTCTCCCGGTGAGCGTCTTACCTAATTCGGCATTTAAACCAACCCTGGGCGGCCTTTTTAGCTTCAGTTGCAATCAGTGGTCTTTTTCCTGACACGCCCCAGTCCCATGCCGTGACCCCCCCCCCCCCCCTACCCTTTTTTTAGAGCACAAGCTTTAAATGGTAGCAGACCTGAACACAAAAATGAGCACCGTGTGGCGAGTTCCACCCAGATAATTTCACTACATTCTGCTATTTTTTTGCGCCGCGCACTGATTGAAGCTTCACCATCATACTCAAGAAGAAAGAAGAAAATGTGCACTACCGTGCTTGAAAGGGGCAAGAAAATATGAAAATATGTGGCGCACCAATTCAAGTCACTGAAAATGATGGCATACTGAAAGACATCTGTCTCCGTCTGTGGGGATGGCGAGTATCTGTCCTGATTCGCACTACTGGTATGGTGATAAAGGTAATACATGAGTCATTTGTAACGATACCGATGGTCCACGGTTCGTGCATGCCAGATACAGTGGCTGCGCTAAGTCGGTACATTTTCGCGATTTTCATGTCGAGGGAAGCTTTTCTTTCCGAACTTTGTTGATGCTGCAGGTAACCTCTGCCGGTAATGACGGATAAGATGATCCAGATGATGAAGTACTGGTGTCAATCGCCCGTGCACATGCCCAAAATTCTGTTCCGTTCTGTTCAGATCTTAAAGGGAATGTTTCAAATTTGAACGTATTGAAGTAAGCATCAAACACGCTAAACCAGCCCATTTGTAACTATTGGTATACCTTAAAAGCCGAAAAACTGCTCTAGACAGCCCAATTCTCTGTTAGTAAATGTGCTTTTCATCGTGCCATGGTTTGATCATGTCATCGTACCCGGCACAACATAAGACTTGAATGACGTTATTATAACGTCATGAATGTCAAGGTGACTTTGAAATGCCCTCCCCGATATACGTTACCCCATTTTTGCGGGCATGTGGCTCAGAAACTAGAGAGGGTTAGTCCTTAAGGAGGACAAGATTGTGAACAACACCGAAAGGTCTTGAAGATGGCTATTACAGTTCAAAGCCCCATATCAATGGGTTTTCCATACAAACGTAGAATAATCGCTTTAGAGAGAGTGTTCCGCATTTGTATGGGGTTTCAAACTGAAATAGCCATGTAAAGATCATTCGAGCAGTTAACAATTCTACCATTTTTAAGAGCCAAAACTTTCTAGCTTTTAGCTACACGCCTGCGAAGACGTGTATCATTTTCCGGGGAGGCAATCTCAAGGTCACCCTGGCATCCATGACGCTATAATAACGTCGTTAAAATCCCATCATTCTATTAGCCATGTGGCAATCAATGCTAAGAAAAGTACAACCGTTGAGTCATTCCTATCGGCCGTTCGTAGCCACGTTTTCAAAATATAACGGCCGTCAGGTAGCTCTCAATTAATATTGTGCATGGTACGATAACGCAATCAAACATTGACATATTGAGGAGCATATTTACTAAACAGAGACATTGTATTGTCCAGAGCAGTCTTTTGTCACTTGAAAGCATACCAGCAGTTATAAGTGTGTTTATCTCATCATATCTTATGCTTGGTCCAAAGATTTAAAATATGGACATTGCTCTTAACCCGGCATTGATCGCGCTCCTCGGAGGCACACCATTGACCGGAGGGGGCAGATTTGACCCTCGCTTATGTCAGGAACAGCCGAGCCGAGTAAAAAAATTAAAATCGCAATCGATATCGCCGAGGCGTGCGGCCTCAAATCACACAACAAACTTATGTTTAAGCGCGTCACATTAAGGTCACAGGTCAAGGTAAAATTATAAGGATGTTCATTTAGAACATCTGACATTTCCCTAAATACATTTGATTGAGAAGTGCATCCCATGGTGTGAAATCATTGCGCCCTGATCAAACATACAACGTAGGAGGGTATCCAATGTTACGCGCGCCGTACCAGGGCTAGAATCAAGGTCAGGCCTAAAGCCAAATCCGTGCAAATGAGAACCGAAACCTTGGTGTGTAGGTCTGTTTTGTGGTCTTTTTGTTTCCGTCAGATACGAGCCATCTGAACGTGAAGTGGAAGAGTTAAGCCGCAATTATCGGATTAAACACACGAACAAGAGCTGATACTTGCTCATAAACCGCCTAAGGCCAGGGTGATATGGATGACCCGGTGGTGAATAGCGGCTGGATCGACTGTCGCGTTGCTTCCGACGGTGCAGTCCTGCCGACAGCGCAATCCGATACTCTTCAACCACGCTGCCAGTCGCGTGATCGTCAGTTTGCGTGTGAAACTGATAAACGGCTTCCGCTGCGCCGTCACCGCGCCACTGCGGCAGACCTGGGCCCAGCCGCCCGCCGTCGCGGGCTCTGGGCCACCTGTTTTTGCGTTTCAAGATGCAAACCCGATGCGTTTCAAGCCATAACTCAGTCATTATTACAGATAATTACTTGAACCTTGTTACAGGCATCCCTCATAGTCGTATCTAGGACATCTTATCTAAAACTTTCATGATTATAAAGTATGAAACCAAAAAGTCATTTGTACCCTTTTCATTAACGTTTTGGCCATTTGACATGCAAATATTTAAATGTGCCATACGGAGGCTACACAAAAACAGATTGTATGCATGGTAGACTAATTAGCTCACATTCCCCTCTAACAGATGTCAAATATGTCCTTTTTTTGGCTTCTGTGTCAATTTGTCTGCGGCTATGTGCTTTTGACAAAAAATCGGCAAACAGCACGTCTCTCTGACATTACTCACGCTTGATCTATTGAAATATAATATTTTTTCTTCAGCCCAGGGCGCAACATGCATCAAGTGACATCTACTGAAAATTTTGCAGCTGTAACTCAAGGCGTTTTTGAATTATTGCGATTATCAGACGGGGAGCAGATTTGACCCCCGTTAATGCCGGGCTAAGCTTATCGAAAAAATGTCCCAAAGTTTCCGAGCGGCTAATCTTATCCAAAGTCGTTATATTTGAAGTTTTGTTCTATCGTATGGGGCATTACGAACGACAAAGGTTCGTGGCGACCTGCGAAATGGGCGCACGGTGCAGAGATTTCTACTAGCACTGCCGACTATATTCGATTGTTATTTTCATGACCGTTAACCTGACTCAAGATCACCTCATTTCACTGCTTGAGAGTTATCGCGTATGTGTTGGGTGGAATGATGGAGGCGTCATGGAAATCAGCCCGTCATCATCGGAGCTGAGTCAGCATACGCACAACTCGGGTTCAAAACCGCTCATCCTTTTGTTGTATTTGCATCTGAGATTGTTTCTGTCAAACTCGACTAAACCCAACCAAAACAAAAACAAACAAACCAGACTCAAGTGACGACGCATCGCTCGAAGACCGCGTATCTGAGAAGACTTTTGTGTTGGTGATACATATACGCATCATAGACAAAACGCATAAGACGTACACATAAGACATTATCAGCGCATGCTCACTGAAACGCATCCGACGCAATTATCACAAGGCCCATGCTCCCGGTAGAATAGGCCTTACTCAGCGTTTAATGTGGGGCTCGTTCTTGACACTCGCAGGCATCAAAAGATCCACACCCTCGCACACCTGCATGACCTTCAGTGTTCTGTGGCCGCTAGGGCAGTCCCTGCGGGGTTGGCCGCTCCCTTCAGGGGAGCTCACTGTCGGCCTCCAGCAGGCCGGAACCCTCCAACAGGTCGGCGCCCTCCGACAGGCCGGATCCTTCCTCCGGCAGCAGGTCAAAGTCGGGCGCCTCCGGCTCGAAGGCGGGGCTCTCGGCCTCCTGCGTGGTGAGCAGGAGCTCGTCACCGGCTGCCTCCGGCGCCGGGGCAGCCTTGATCTCCTCGTTCAGTAGAACCGTGCCAGAGGATGGCAACACCTCATTTCCTAGGATCGCATCTAGCATTTGGCCGACCTCAGAGATCAGATCCTGATTAGAGGTGGTATCTGGGATATCTTCCCGAGCATCTGAAATTACTTCTTGATCAGAAGTGGTCTCTGAGATCGCTTTCTGGGCAGGAATGGTTTCTGAGATTTCTTCCTCTTCAGGGCTGGTCTCAGAGATTGCTTCATGCGCCGGAGCGCTTTCTGAGGCTACTTCCTGATCAGAAGTGTCCTTAGGGGTCAATTTCGGAATGGAAGCGCTCTCTGGAGTCAATTCCAGAGCAGGGGCATTCTCTGGTGTCAATTCCTTAAGAGAAGAGTTCTCCAGGCCCAACTCCTGAGTGGGAGCAGTCTCTAATATTACCTCCGGAGCAAGAGCATTCGCTGAGATCATCTCCAGGACTGGAACGGTCTCCGAAATCATCTCCTGAACTGAAATGCCATTCGACGCCGCCTTAGAAGGGATACCGTTCGGAATCTGCTCTTGGGCAGTAGCCATCTCCATAATAACCTCCTGAATCACGTCTTGAGCTGATGCTTCAATCTCAGCCGCCACCTCTTGGACCACTGCAGCATCCGCTGCATCCTCTTCAGCTTGGCTTATTTCCGAGATCACTTCTGGGGTCATATGCGGAGTTTGCACGTCGTTGTTCGAGAGAATTTTCGTGGCCGGTGTGTCCTCGGTGTTTTGGGTCGATTTGAGCTCAGATAGTACCTCTTGGATCACCTCCTGAGCTGAAGCAGCAATTTCCGAAATCTCCCTCCGGACTGGACCGGGAATATCTGCAATGACATCCTGAACTGTCCCCTGGACTGGGCTGCCGGCAGTCTGGGCTGCTTCCTCGGGTGAGCTGGTGACCTCCCGGGTGGTCTCATCTGCTGAAGCGGTGAGCTTCTGAGCCTTCTTCTCGGCTGAGATCGTGGGGTCCGAGATGACCTTCTGGACCAGGCTGGGCTCTGTGATCACTTCCTCGAGCTCCTCCGCCACCGGGATAACCGAGTCGGTGGGCTCCAGGGTGTCGATACCGGTAGTCGTCGGCTGTGGCTCGGCTGCCGTGGTCTGCTCCACCGGCTGTGACTCGGCTGCTGGAGCCCGCTCCACTGGCTGCAGCTCGACTACCAGGGCTTGCTCCGCCGCCGGCTGTGACTCGACTGCCGGGGCCTCCTCCACCGGCTGGAGCTCGACCACCCGGGACTGCTCCGCCTGCTGTGGCTCGACTGCCGGGGCCTGCTCCGCCAGCTGTGACTCCTCGGCTGCCTGGGCCTGCTCTGCCGGCGACTGTAGCTCGGCTACCAGGTCCTGCTCCTCCGGCTGTGATTCGGCTGCTGGGGCCTGCTCTGCCGCCTGTGACTCGACTGCCGGGGGCTGCTCAGCCGGCTGTGACTCGGCTGCCGGGGCCTGCTCCAACGGCTGTGACTCGGCTGCCGGGGGCTGCTCAGCCGGCTGTGACTCGACTTCTGGGGCCTTCTCCGCCGGCGGCTGCGACTCGGCTTCCGGGGCCTGCTCCGTTGACTGTGACCCGGCTGCTGGGGCCTGCTCCACCAGCTGTGACTCAACTGCTGGGGCCTGCTCCGCCGGCTGTGACTCGACTGCCGGGACCTGCTCCACCGGCTGTGACTCGGCAGCCGGGGCCTGCTCCGCCGGCTGTGACTCGACTGCCGGGGTCTGCACTGCCGCTGGATCGACGCTATTCAGCGGACACACGACGCTGGGGCAGCACACGCCATCAGTGTAGACGGGTTTGCAGCCCCGGGCGCGGTGCTCACTCTCGCGCCGGTCCCAGTCGCATTCGGCAGACACCGGCTGCAACGACAGGGGACATGTCAGCAGGGAACGCCTCAGGGAACACGCTGAGTAGATACCAGCTGCAACGACTGAGAACATGTCAGCAGGGATCGCCTCAGGGGACACACTGAGTAGATACCAGCGGTAACGACAGGGGGCATGTCAGCAGGGAACGCCTCAGGGAACACGCTGAGTAGATACCAGCGGTAACGACAGGTAGCTTGTCAGCAGGAAATGCTCTCGGTGGACGTCGGCTGCGACGGCAGAAGGCCTGCCGGCAGGGAATAGACAACAGGGGCGTGTCAATAGAGAATTTGCCCGGCAGGCACCGCCAAGGTCGACGGTCGGGTCAGAGGGAAACCAACAACCGGAAGCGTGTAAGCAGGGAACATGCCCAGCAGACACCGCCTGGATTGACAGCAGTGTCAATTTCGAATGAACGACAGGGGGCGCGCCAACAGTGGACACACCCGTCCCGGTGTAGCAGCAGGCTGTACGCCAAAAGCCGGGGTATAGGCTCCTTTTCAGTTGAGGTCGGGGGCTCCAGCAACGCCAACAAAAGATCCATCCTCCTACTCTAGGAGAAAACTATCCTAGGTCTGAGAAGCACAATTAACTGCTCAGCTCCCCCTAAAACTAATTTTGTGAAACTACGCCCCTGGCTTAAAGTACGGGCACAGGCACAGGTATCTGTGATTACACGGGCAGATGCGGGTGATCAATACGATGTCAGCAGATTGGGACGGCGCCAAGGACACTGAGTGCCCACTCAAGCAAAGGTGTGCATGCTCGACTGCCCACGCCATCCTCCAACGCAAGTTCGGAACGCGCCGGCAGTCATCTTGGTGGCCGACTCCCGCCACTGGACTTATCGCCTCACACCGTTGAGCAACGCCTAAGCCACCCGTGAGCTCGGTGACCCAACCTGTCAGCTACGAGTGGTGGGGTTACCCAATGATCAGCCCCCGTGCCATGAGCATGCTGGCAATCGCAGCGGTTGCAATACCCGTAGGAATGAGAGAAGCGGTCTCATGGAGACGAACAGTTAGGAAATATTCGTAGGAGTTCTCGGGAAAGGATGCTTATGGCCCTGCCACACTCGCATTAGGGCGTACAACAATGCAATTGCTCATGAAGGTTAGTGACTGCTTTCACCTGCGTACTGCTGGATTAGAAAACACCCTAAACATGGCTGTTCAGCTTTTTACAACGAAAACTTGCACTGATACCATGCATGAACCTGCCGGGACATCGCAGGCGCGAAAAACGCAAGTGTATGGACAGCTTTGGCGAAATCGTTTGTCGCGAAGAATTTCCCGGAAATCAATGCCAACACGGAATGAGACTAGCAGCACATAGACGTACAATTAAAGGACAAACCTTTGGGAGAAAACAAAGAGTAAACACCCAACCAACGCAGACAAAATGCCAACCAGAAGGGCCGAAACACAACAGCCGGCTTTCAGTGTGCAGCTGGGGCAACATAACTAATTACAGGAAGACGTCGCAGGCTGCCATTCAGAATCATTTGACGTCATCTGTTTGTGAAAATCCCGTGACGGTGCAAATCTCTACCGAAATCCACTTTCTGGTGCGTTATACCACCGTTTGTAATGTTGGCCTCACAAAAACTTGCAAGGAAGTGTGTAACTGATTCAACAACAGATCGGCCTTTTAACATCTCATACATAAAGTGACAACCGACAACAACGCACTAAGACTTTTCCGTAGCGAATTCAACGAAAGGAAGGCGGACCAAGAATACTAACTTCCGGGATATATTGTGCACGGATGGCGGTTCCGTGAGGCCCACGCGCCCACACCGACGGCCGCGGCGCGGGATTGCCGACAGTGGACGGGCCACTGCTGCAACGCGCGGCTCCGCGGCTCGCCCCCGGAAAGTGCGGCGCCACGGAAAGTGGCGTCCTTCGCCGGCGTGGAGGCCGGCGATGTCGTCCGAGTGCGGCCGCCAGCCCGTCGCCATACCGGGCGGCCGGCGACACAAAAGTGAACACGCAAGCGGGGCGCGACGCCGCTCCGTATATAGCCGCCGTGGACAGACGGCCGTTGCAAGGGCTGGCGGCCGGGCTGGCCCGGGCGGCAGGCCACCGCCGCCGCGGACTTCCAGCAGCGTGTCATGGCCCGTCGAGCCGTGCTTTTGCAGCGCCGCCGACTGCCAAGGGAGGTGACGCAGATGGGCCGGTGTCCCATCTCTCACAATATTGCTTGCGAGAACTCCGATAGCCAGAAACACAACAATGGAAAAGGCGGAAGGGCAGCGACACTTTCCTTGAAGACAAGCTATTCTAGCTTTGCATCATTGCCATCGCACGCTATTCGTGAGCGAACTGATGGAACATCCTGCAACGACGCCTCTAGGCGGTCCATGTCGGCCCACCTCTTACCTAATATTTGCGTAATGCACCATGCCTACTGTTTTTCTGATGTCTTCATGCCGACCTTTCCTTCCATGAGCTTCCGATGTATTGTTGGTATCTTGGACGCTGACCTTGGGACGTGAAATGTTGTCGCGACGTGTGTGGAATTTCGGTGCAATGGACGCTTACATGCAGCCTACTAATGGTGTGTAGACGGCAATGACCTTAAATTTGCATGCCCCTATGCTTCTGAAAGACGATTCATCTCTGGTTGAGGAGAAGTAGAGCTTTCCGAGAGTGGTATACCATTTGACTGCTCTGCCGGCTAACCATTCACAGCACGCTGCCAGCAATCCACGGCTCATCCCGCCAATGTTGTGCCCAGTCAACGACAGAATATAGTGGTGAAAGTTTAAAGTGCCGCAATGCTCGGCACGGCCAATCTTACCCTCTGACGTCACCTCACCTTCAGGGTGGCCGCTGCCACCAGCCGTACACCATACCAGTCAAGGGCAAATAGCGCGCACTTAAAGCGATTCGAGCCCACCGGTCGGAAGGCAGGTTACCTGACCAACTGAGCTATTGGGACGGACGGAGGTCTTAAAGACCGTTCCAGCGACCAGTTAGGCGCAGCTTCTATGACAGGTCACTCACAACCGCTGGTGGATCCCGGGGAGGGGGGGGGGGGGGAGGGGGAGGGCCATGTTTCGCCCAAGATAAGTACAACGATAGCTTACATTCTGTTGGTCGGGACTCGAGGTTTGGCCCCTCCCAAGATCCGACTATGGATACGCCCTCTGCCCACAATAACCCTTCGAGCCGCCCAAGGAGCTAAGCAACATTGTATGCAAGCAAGGTACGTTTGCAACGGCAAACCGCGACGGACCACGGTATCCATATAGGAAAACAAGGAGGGATCGGGGAGGCTAAGAGTGTTAACAAGCCACGAAAAAACTGACATGGGCCAGACAGAACTTTAATGCCAGTTGTGACAAAGGAACCAGCATATGCACGTCGAATATCTGCAAGATTCCAACGACACGAAGATAGTTCCGTGAATCATCTGCTTAGATATGCAACTCACAATGCACTCGTCTGGCGTGAAGCACTTGCAGAAGTGGCAGGGATCACCCTTCACCGGTCCCGTTTCGAAGCAGATATCTGGAAGCATCAAAAGCAGCCATTGCATAGCATACTTTCAACTCACGTAGTGTTTCGCTAGTCCGCGCCATTCATCCGCTCGATTAAAACAATAATGTTACTCTTGCAACTCAGTTGCCTCACACTGGTTCAAGAGCATACAGTCTCCAGTTAGCAGGTACAAGTCTCCATTACTAAGGCACTCCCCATGACAAACAGTACTGAAATTACAACTGACAACACCACGCTAATTTTTCTAGGGTGATGCTGACTGACACTGTACGTGCATAATGAAGACAACCCCGCGCAAATGGCCATTGCTGCATTCTACGTGAAATGGCCATCAAGCACACACGATAGCACACGTTATTTTGCAGCTACAGCATTTAACAAAGGTGTGACAAATGAATTTGACAGATTTCAGAGGCATGTCAATGAAAACACATAATATGCATGCAGCAGTCTTATGTATATATATATATATATATATATATATATATATATATATATAATGCTGCAATGCCTCTAACGAACGTACTTCAGTCAGCGAATGAGCTAGCTGCTGTTCTTTGCAATTATCTGGTAACGAATGGGAGGGCTCAAACAGACTCAAACGGCGGCACAGACATGTTCTGTTCTGTTCATACCCCGAACCCTCCACCTTGCGTAATGCAGGGCATCTCGTCAAGTTACCTTTCGTATCAAGCTTGGCCTTGAAGATGGTCTCGATATCTCCCACGGGCAGCGAGAGCGCCAGCGAGGCGGTGGTCAACAGGAGCAGGCCGCGCATCGTGTTCAGCGCTGTCTGTCCGACCGCAAACTGCACTGCCGGGGCGACCCGCCGGCCGCGTGTCTTATACCAGCCGCTAATGGCGTCACCGGCCCCGGGCGGCCGTACTGCGCCGATTCGAGCAGCGATAGCTGACATCGTCGCCCCACGAGGATGACTAGCGGCCACACTTAACCTGGCCCAGCGTGTGTCCACGACGTTTCGTCATCTCGTCTGTAGGAGCCTACGACTTAACCAGCTTAACAGAAGGTAAAGGAGGAGAAGGAGGAGGAAAAGTAGGAGGAGAAGGAGGAGGACGACAAGGTGGATGTGGAGGAAGAGGAAGGGAGAAGAAAAGAGGGCGAAGAGGAGGAGGCGAAGGGGAAGGGGAAGAGGAGGAGAAAGAGGGTCATTGTCTGTAGGCCAGGCTGCCCGTGATGACGTCACGGATGACGTGGCCGGGGAACGGAAAGAGCATCGCGCCTAACAGGTTGAGCACAGGGCTTTTCTGGGTTCGCCGGCAGAGCATCTTGACATGAAGTGGCAGGGAACACTCGCCTCACCTGATGGTAGGCGAGTGTTCCCTGACATTGATGCCATAGCGGTATGATGTATGGTGTTACACATGATGCATATGGAGGACACTTCGAAGAAATGTCAGATAATTTAAGTATTCAGTAGGTAGTCGGAATGGTCGACAGCACCTTGTTAACGACACTCATCTTCCACAAACCAAATTTTGAACGCTGGCTGGACGTGAGGAACAATTAGAGATGAGTGCTCATTGCAATTCGGAATTGCAACCATGTAATGGCTTTATTCTGACCTGAGCTTGGATTCGAGACCCAAATTAGTTTTAATTTGTATCGACATCTAGAAAATCAGCCGCATTTTACGTCCCACTTCTAAACCAATTTGTTTGATTTCTGGCGAACTGCTCTCACATTTTATATTTACACCCTGCTGAGCCATGTCCTCCCGATTGAAAATGGTACTGAGCATTCGTGTTGGTACACATATCTACGCGTGACAGGCCGCTTTGTTCGAGGAAACTTATCTGAGATTGATGAGGCCTGCTTGTGGCATGTAGGCCCTTGAATTTTGGTCCGCGCTCTCCCGGTTTAAATGCTGTTTTACTTAAGCTCCCTTCTTTAATCAACTATACGTTGGTTGACCACAGCAGTGACCACAACAGTTGAGTTAGTCCGGAACCCACAGCAGTAGGGTCCAGCGGTAACTAATGCAGTGTTATAGAGCGCGTAGGACAGGCGACACTGGTGCAACACAGACATGTGCGTGCTGTATCGAGTTTATTTGAAGGAAGGTGGAGCCTACAGCGCATTCCATCGCATTTAATCACATTCTCAAATAACGCCATGCAGGATTCGACATCAACTTCAACAACATCAACGTCAACATCAACAACGTCAACAGCATTGGGATCCAAATTTCTGGGATTCATATTCTCATTTTCAGACTTTCAGGTATTGTAGGATTCGAATCTACTCGAATCCTTCGACTCAGAATCCTCAGTCCAGTGGCAATGCTCCAAGCCATGCACGCGGTGCTGAATCCAGCTTATGGCGCTTGCACTTCACTGTCAAGGATTTTTTAGCACCCATGGCTGTGATGTGTATGGTAGGAGAAGCGTGGGCACAAGTGGCTCACGATGGATTACCAGCTATTAGTGTGACAGTTTGCGTGGCCCACGAGGGTTGCCAGCTTTTCGTGGCTGCTTAGCAGTCGCCCCTACGGCTGTTTTCCCCTCCGCCTTACTATAGAGGGGGTGAGGGCAGGGGGAGGGAACTCAACAGCTTCTTTAATGTTTCGGAAACTAAACGGGATAGAGCCACGCGGCAACAGCATTGGAAAGCTCCTTTTAGAATGCATCAGTTAGGTGTCAGTGATCAGCGGCGAATGTTACGTTTGGCAGGTCAAAGTAAGTCATAGGCTAAATCAACACTTGATAGATCTATCGTATTATCCCGTAAGTAAGCGTGCTGCGACAACGCAAACGACGGTGTTGAATAGCTCTTAGAAAACTCTATCACATGAGCACGGGTGAACACAGACTTACCTAATCTACAATATGTCATGTCAGGTGAGATGGAAGCCCTTGCGATTACATCACGAGCTAAGCAGCCACGCAAATGGAGCTAACAGCGTTAGAGAGGCCTTCCAAAGCTGCAAGCTGCTATCATTGCTGTTAAAATTGTATCACCTTTAAAACGTCAAATGTGGTCACAAAGGTCAAAATATGACCTAACTTGACCTTTGCTGACCTAACCTTGAAAAAACAGCCGGGGTGATCGTAATGCAATTAACGGTAATGCAACTGAGTAAAACAGCCAAAAAACCTCCTGGAGTACATTTCCCGCGAGATATAAGCACTACGTGTTATTTGTGTGCAAAATGTCACCAAGGTGACCTCGAGATAAAGAACATACATGATGAGACATGAAAGTTTGAAGCATCAAATTTTCATACGTGTAGAAATAACGTAAACTTTTTTCTTTTTCATTTGCTGCTCAAAATATAAGCACCACGCTCACAGCCGTTCAGGAGTTGCTCGAAAAAACCCGTCGAAGAATTTCCGAGCCCCTCCCCTCTCCGAAGTAGGGAGATCTCCATTAGGATTATGACAGTGTATTGAAAAAATATACTCAACAGGGTTCAGGGCCCGATCTCTTTTTGTGAAGCTTTTTGTGTAGGACTTGGCAAAAGTCCTACACAATCATCAAACCTCCCAGAGAACCGCCCAGACAGCGCCATTGAGCCGTTTCGCGATGTAATACGCGCCGAGAAGTTAGCCTGGCTTTTTTGATAGTCTAGGGGTCTCTTTATCGCTCATCTCCTCCACACACACTATTGGCTGCTTGGGATGCCTCTATTTATAGCCTATTCCGAATCAAGTTATGACAACTAGCAAATACATTATCTAAAGGCCCAGCGTCTTAGTCCTGCTCTTTGCCACATGAACTGGATTGTTTGGATCATGAGAAGTAAACTACCATGCTCATTCGAAGTTTCACAAATGTGTCCGATAATCCGCATGAATGACTCTCAGCAGTGTCAGGCGGCATCTTTCCGATCTAGTCTGGTGCAATGGCAGGAATACCGTTCTTCGAGCCAACTCACCACAAATCCCGGCTTATCGCTCGATGACAGCTGCCACGTTGACATCGTAACTCGATGGTACATGGTGACGTGGCCTGAAGCTCATGAACAGGTCGCCACGAGTCTGGCGAAAAGTGGCATTGCAGTCAGAGGTGAGTGTGATGTTGAAATGCGTTGTGGAAACTCTGAACATTACATAACCGAGTCTCCACCCGGCCCACACCGAGGCCATACTGATCTGAACACAGTTTGGTCGTATTCCGCTTTAGCCAGAGCGCAGAACATTGGTGTCTTTTCATGCCAGTTTGATATTATGTCGTCATGGTATGCCTTGCGCTTGATGTGTTATCATGTGATAGCATCCGGTATCCCAGCGCGGTCTGACAGACTTCATTACCCAGGGATGGCTCCAGGCGCAGTTTGTGTGGGACACGTCTAATGTCAAGTCGAGGTACGCTCAGCGACGAGCTGTGAAAGATTTCTTCCTGCTAACGAAGACATTGCTTGACTGACGTGAGTTCTCATGTCAAAGGTGCCATAAGTGACCATTGTCTCGCATGCTTTGCATCTATCACATACTTTGAGTTCATATATATAGATTTAGAGGACTTCAAAGTAGGATAATGATACCATGGGTGAATAGGTTGCTAAGATTTATTGACAACTGAGCGGACAATCCAGATCTGTAACGGCTTCAGTTGTTGCGCATCCTGCACCGCCAGTAGGTCCACCTGGAGCACCTCTTCTTGCCATGATTTGACAGATTTGGAATCAATGATGAATACCGCTGTCACTGATTGTGCTTTGCCATTCAGTTGGCAGTTGAATACCACCACAATTACGATTTTAGGACAAATACACTTGCCTCTGCGAAGAAAAAAACGCAGGTGAGACAGTAGTAATAGCCTTATTCTTCGGAAAAAGGAAAATGCAGATATAGTTGCGTTGATATTTCGGCAACATGCCTTTGTCGAAACAATAGTAAAAGTGGCATGTTGTCGAAAAAGGCACGCTGTGAAGCCCAAGTGGCATGTTTCGATAAAGGCATGCGGCCGAAATATGAACTCAACTATATCTCCACTTTCTTGTTTTTCCCCGAAAAATAAGGCTATTACTGCCGGCTAATCTATGTCAATAACGCTCCACGCTAATGCGCTGAACAACTTACGTAAGAAGAAAACGGGTTAGCTTTCATCTTGGCCACAACGCGCTTTAAAATGCTGGCACATACCGCAGTCAATCCTCTTTATCCCAATCCAGATGTCATCATGTGCTTAACTTGCCAAACGTTTGCAAGTCTGGCCTACCATATGAGGGAGGTGGCGGAGGTAAGAACATTAGGCAGCTACATGATAGCCTGTGGTACAGAATAAACATGTAACTAGTAATGACAAGCCTGGGTACCTCGTGCACCGTTATGTGAAGGCCCTGTTCCACATTTGTATGAATATTTCCACTGAGGCAGTCTTTTAAGATCATTTTCTGCACTGCAAAGTTATGCCCTTTGTGAGAATTCAAATTCTCTCGTGTTTTAACAATGCGCTCGTGAAGTTGTGCAGACCAATCCGCGCCGCCCGTTGTAAAAATGACGGCGCGAATCAGTCTGCACAAGTTCGCCCCGAGATGTTTGATGACACAGAGATGTCCTGCGAATTCTGCGTTCCCTATGGCCATGCTGTGTTTAAAGGAAGTGCTCAACCTTGGTATGGGGTTTTAACTGAAATAACCATCTTGAAGATCATTCGGCGCAGTCCACAGCCCTGCCCTTCTTAAGATATAAGCGCTTCTAGTTTTTTAGGTTCACGCCCGCGAAGATGAGCAGACTTTTTCTGGGGGACTATTTCAAGATCACCAAGGCAGCCATGACGCCATGATAACGTCATTCAAATGCTGTCATTTCATTGGTCATGCGACGATCAAGGCCAATAA